AAAAAATTTGAAAAAAAATGAATTCATTTTTTTTCCGGTTGGGGCCTGATAAAATTTTTTATTTCGGTTTCATTTCGGTTTTAAAATTTCCATTTCGGTGCACCTCTAGTTATATGTGTATGTTTCTAATCTTCACAGAGTGCCTGACCAAGACAAGGAGCCATGGGTGACTGGACCTTCCTGGGGGAATTCTTGGAGGAAGTACAGAAGCATTCCACAGTGGTGGGGAAAGTATGGCTGACTATACTGTTCATCTTCCGAATGTTGGTCCTCGGCACTGCGGCAGAGTCCTCCTGGGGAGATGAGAAATCGGACTTCATGTGTGACACCACCCAACCCGGTTGTGAGAACGTCTGCTATGACAAAGCATTCCCCATCTCCCACATTAGATTCTGGGTTCTCCAGATCATTTTTGTGTCCACTCCATCCTTACTATACATGGGGCACGCCATGCACACCATTAGGGTGGAGGAAAAGAAAAAATTCAGGGAAGAGGAAATGAAAGCCAAGCAGGACATGAGTGGAGACTCAACCTACCACCAGAAAGTGTACCCACCAGAAAAAGTAGAACTTCCCTATAAGGATGAGATTAGTGGGAAAATTAGGCTTCAAGGAAGCTTGTTAAATACATACGTGTGTAGCATTCTCATCCGCACAGTGATGGAGGTAGCTTTCATCGTTGGACAATATATGCTGTATGGAATCTTTTTGGAGACCCTCTATATATGCAAGAGGAAACCTTGCCCCCATCCCGTAAACTGCTATGTATCCAGGCCAACTGAGAAAAACGTTTTCATTGTTTTCATGTTGGCTGTGGCCTCATTCTCACTTCTACTCAGCCTGGTTGAACTCTACTATTTGTCATGGAAGGGGCTCAAGCAGAAATTGACTAGGCCACCGCCAAGTGGCCAAAACGCCTTGAGGGTGGCCACTATAGAGCCAGAGCACCGCTCCCAGAGCTGTACACCTCCGCCCGATTTTAATCAATGTCTAAACACTAGCAAAGGCAAGTTTGCCACCCCATTCAGCAATGCTCTTGCATCTCAACAAAACACAGCTAACTTTGCCACCGAGAGGGTCCAGACTGAAGATGACATCGGACAAGGACCGTTCGTCCACATCAACTATTCACAAAATGCTCCGGTGACCAACCACTCTGCGCCACACCACATGCCCAATGGCTACTGCCACAGCGGCCGGCGCTTGAGCAAGACAAGCCGCACTAGCAGCAAAGCCCGCTCAGATGATTTGGCAGTGTGAACTTTTTTGGGGTTTATAGCCTTCCTGTTACGTATTTATATAGCCGTAGATAACAATCTATTTTGGGTTGTGTTGGCTTCCTGGATGTAATCATGGCAATCCATTTTTTGTACTGTAATTTGTGCCTTGGAACTTTGTGTCGAGAAACAGTTTATTAAAGCTGAATTTACATATGCAAGTTCAATGTCCATGTCAGAAGGATAAAAGGTACATTCATGTAAAACTGGTCTTTGTGTTGTTCTGCTGTACCAGTAGAGTGTAGTTGCCAGCAGGATCCTTAAAGTTATAGCTTGAGGGGCTCCAAAACTCCCTATCAGCAAACCTCTTGTTTAGTTTAGGATAGGGTAGGTAGAGATTAGAACCTCTTTCAGGTTTTAACTACTATGTGGGCCTTTGTTAAGGAGGGTATACATGGGAAGCTTTTCAAACAAACCTCCGTAGGCAGTGGCGTAACTAGAACCTTCAGGGCCCCGGTGCAAGAGACCATGAAGGCCCCCCCTAACCGCAATGGCACCGCATGGTTAACAGGAAGGCTGCCGAGGTCCCCAGCAAACGCGGGACATCAGGCAGCCGCTTGTTTAAAATGTTAGTGCGGTGTTCTGTCGAGAACGCTGACCCAGTATCTGCGCTTACGACACAGATGGGATTAACGAGGAAACCGGGATTTATTTACAAAGTATTCGTCTATAATGGTTAATTGTGACCATTAATAATATACCGTCCATGACAGTAAATGAAGGATGGAATATTATTAACGGTCACAATTAACGATTTTAATGAAATACTTTGTGAATAAATGCCGGTTTCCTCGATAATACTGGTCTATGCGCAAGCGCAGATGCTGAGGTCGGCAAATTAGACTATGTCGGCGTTCTCGACAGAACACCGGTATCTGCGTTTAGTATCTGGGCATTTTCACAAGTATGAGTACTCGTGAAAATGCCCAGTATTGGCAGTGGTGTATCCCTACTTAAAAATATAATGCATGGCTGGGACTTGTAGTCCTACACAGTTGGAGCTATTCTGCATTGCTGTATAATCATCATACAGCAATGCAGATTACCACCAGCTGTGCAGGACTACAAGTCCCAGCAATGCATTATAATAAAAGTCGGCTATGCAGAATACCTCCAACACCCCCCCTCCGCCCACTATAATGCATTGCTGGGACTTGTAGTCCTCTATAGCTGATGCCATTCTGCACTGCTGCAATGCAGAATGGCACCAGCTATAGAGGACTACAACTCCCAGTAATAATTTATACAGAAATGCAGATTAGTTCCATCAGCTATACAAACTCACAGAACATACAGGCACAGAGATTAAATCACTTACCTTATCTAACTGTCCTCCAGGCTGGAACACCATGCAGCAGGGGTGTGTATTCAGGAAGCTCCTGGCCGAGGCCCCAGCGCTGCCTGTGGAACAATTAGACCCAGTGTGTGGCTCTCTGCCTCACTTGCAGGGCGGCCAAGCGGATGGCGCCCCTGCGCCCCCAACATTCGTTCCCCCGTCCTGCCACTGGTACTAGCGGGCCCCCCTCCTCCTCTCCTTGCGCGCTAGCTTGGTCCCGCACCGGCGGTACTTCCGCCTCTGCCTTAGCCCGACGCTGTTTGGAGACGAGCTTCCGGCGGCCGAGTCCACCTGCAATGGGAGAGGGGGGGACGGGACGCGGTCATTGCTGCCGCCGGACCGAATCTCGCTGGGCCATGGGCCCCCGCATGTGACGCCACCAGGTGACGGGCCCCCCCTGGCCGCGGCCCTCGGGCAGTGCACTTCCTCGCTGGGCCCCCCCAAGTGGCGGAACTACCAGGGCCATCAGAATGTTCGATATTGCCATCCGAGACTTGGCGATTGTTGTTACAAATCTTGTTTGATTTTCGTTTTCATTTAAAGGAGAACTATGGGGTCAGTGCTTTTCCCCATAGTTCTCCGAAGGTTAACGGGAGAACACAAGCTAGCGTCCTCCCGTCACCCAAAGCTCAGTATACCGCGAGCTACAGCTCAATGCTGTCTGGATCCACCCAGCTGCATGAGTGACAGCTGGCTCTGCCTATCTAGAGGCAGAGCCAGATGTACCCGCCCCCTCCTCGTCCGTTCCACCAGTCAGCGCTGGAGGATCGGACAGGGGAGGGGGGCAATCCCTGCAGGGAGCCGTGAGTGACAGTCACGGCTCTCTGCACGGATAGCTCGAGAAGTGACCGAGCGACGGTATGCGTTCGCTCACTTCCCGATCTAATGAGCCGACCTGTGACAGTTTCATTGTCACACGTCGACTCAGATTATGAACACTCCATTTTGGAATGAATGGAGTTTCCCAAAAGAAAAACCACATCCATTGTTACCAGAGGTGTAACTACAGATCATTGGGCCCCATTGCAAAATTTTCGATAGGACCCCATGGCAAACCCTTAAAATTTAAATCAAGGACAGGAAGCAGCAGAGCTGTCTGCATAGTTTCCTCCTGTACATCTCATGTAAGCTGTTCTTGATTGGAAATGTCATAGGGGGTACAGGGTCAACAGCAACTTCTGCAATCCTTAATGTGGCCCCCTTCCAGCTTCAGGCCCCATAGCAACCGCGTAGGCTGCGATGGCTATTGTTATGCCACTGACTGTTAGGATTTTGTTTAATTGAAAAAAAAAATTCCAAAACGCTCCTTCAAATTTTGTTGTCTCTGCAGTTGAAATCGCTTATCGATTTCACTGCATCAGAGATTAGAAGGTCGAACAAACGTTCCGAAATCTATTACGCTCATTCGAAATTCAAACTGTGTATATAACCTCCTTTAGGGAGATTTTTTCAAATCTTTTACAGAAAGGAAGTGAGGGAAAATCTGCAACAATTTCTCTCCGTGTCCCCTTTTCAGATCTTCCCTCACTTCCTGTACAGTGGAACTGAACTGATGTCATCGGCAGAGAAAGTGAGGGGAAATTTCTCTAACAGAGCCTTGGACAGCAATAAGGGGGTTTTTTTTGTATCCTTCCCTACTCTATACAACACAAAAAAAAATGTTTTGGCAGAACACACACTCAGACTCCGCCATAATAGTCTAGTAGGTAAGTGATCCCTGGGAAAGTTAAAAGCATTGCTTTGCTACAGAACTTGGGCTACACAAGGACCTGGGAGGTAAGTAAACGTGTTTGCACAAAAACCTTGATTCGTCTTTAGCTCCAACCAAACCTTTCTTTTAGATTTGGTGGAGGAAGGAAAGATACATAGAATCAATGCCAGTTGCAGTCACACATTGAGGTTTTCTATAGATATTTATAGAGGTAACGCAGTGACTCCAGACTTATATAAAAATTTTTTGTTGCGTCTTTTAAATTATTTTTTTTCTAGGTAAACTTTACATCTAAACTCTTCTGCCAGGTGGAATACATGGACTGGTTGCTGTTATCTTCTTATACCCTGCAGTTCTTGGTGGCTCTCTGCTGCCTTCTATAAACCAGTTCCTGTCTGGCCAGTTAGGCTGTGCTAACTACCTTGCCTTGCTTTGTCTTCATCTGGAAGATATGCTTCTGAATAGGAGTCTTCCTTCATTTCCACATCACTCACAGGCTTTCTTCGCTGGTAAAATAAAAAACATGAGTTGATTACCTGATAACTCTGTTTCCAGGAATCTTCCAGGACAGCCCATGAGATAAGGCTCCGCCTGCCTGCAACAGGAAACACATCAACCACATTTAAATAAATAGACCCCTCCTTCCATCCCAATTCAGTACCCTCTAGAACCGAAGGCTACCAAACATTTCAAAGTTTCCACTCTATCATACAGTCACGGATGTCCCCTGGCTACCAACCAAGGGCGGGAATCTGCTGTCCTGGAAGATTCCTGGAAACAGAGTTATCAGGTAATCAACTCATGTTTTCCCCAGTCATCTTCCAGGACAGCCCATGAGAGGATCAGTGAGGACAAATCTTACCTCCTAGGGTGGGACCACAGCTTGCAGGACCTTCCTGCCAAATGCCTGGTCTTGTTGGGTCATAAGGTCCAGCCTGTAATGCCTGACGAAGGTCTGGAAACTGGACCAAGTGGCTGCTCTGCAGATCTGGTCTGGAGTAGCCCCTGCACGCTCTGCCCATGAAGTTGCCCATGCTCTAGTCGAGTGTGCCGTGAGCGGCCCTGGCAATGCCAAGCCCTGAGCGTTGTAAATCTCAGTTATGGCCATTTTAATCCACCTAGCAATTATGCTTTTAGTGGCCCTGTTCCCTCTAGTGGGACCCCCAAAGACTACGAAGAGACGCGTCAAATGTCTCCACGGTTTCGTGACCCTAAGGTACTCCAGGACGCACCTGCGTACGTCAATGCCCCGCCATTCCTTTTCTCCAGCAGAGGTAGGGTTAGTTGCAAACGAAGGGATGACCACCTCCTGAGTCCTGTGGAAGGTGGACACCACCTTCGGCAAAAAAGCCGGGTCTGGCCGTAGAACAATTTTATCTGCCATGATGGTGCAGTACGGATCAGCCATGGAGAAGGCTTGAATCTCGCTCACTCTCCAAGCAGAAACTAATGCTACCAAGAGGGCTGTCTTCACCGTCAGGTTCTGGATTGAGCACTCCCCCAGGGGTTCGAAAGGCTGTTTGAGAAACCCTTGTAATACCACAGAGAGATCCCAATTTGGCACCACCTTACTCCTTGGGGGTTTCATTCTTACTACAGCTCGCATAAACCTCTTTATGAGAGGTTCCTCTGCCAGTCTAATAGCCACAAAATTAGACAGAGCCGTCACCTGTACTTTCAGTGTACTACAGGAAAGTCCCTTCTCCAGATCTCCCTGTAGAAAATCTAAAACCAACGGCACCGCGTCGGCCATCGGTCTACCTTGGCTGTTGTACCAGCTCGAAAAGACTCTCCACACTTTCAGGTAAATTGCAGCTGTGACCGGTTTTCTACTGTGCAACAATGTGGAAACGACCTGTGCGGATAACCCTTTATTCATCAGCACCTCCCTTTCAGAAGCCACGCAGCTAAATTTAAAGACTGTACTTGCGGGTGTTTCACCGTGCCCTGTACCAGCAAGTCTGCCGTCGGCGGAAGAAGCAGCGGCCCCTCCACACAAAGCTCTAGGAGTGTCGTCAGTCTCTTCCGCCAGTATGGCGCTATCAAAATTAACATC